GCAGAGCACAATCAGCTGCCATGTTATTGAGCTTAATATAATGATATTGTAACTAAGGTAACTTTTTATGTCTTGGTATGGCCATGTTGAGTCCAGGTTATAAATATGAAGCTCAAATAATTTTACTGACAAAAATAGAAAGATGACAAGCAGTTCAGTTTTCAAATTATACATATAAAGCTCAAATAATTTTACTAGCAAAAAAATAGGAAAGATGATAACTACTTCAGTTTTCTAATAATGTGACAATTCATAGATATTGTTTTCTTAAAAAGAATTATGGTCCTCTCTCTTCAATTGGATTAGTGATGATGTAAAAAAAAGTTAAAAACCAACAATGTCTCTCCATCACATATTTTCTCCTACAACTAAAAAGAATAAAGCGTGGATATTTTTTTTGTGCAAAATTTGTTTTGGTTCGTCCGTCTGCCCACGCCTGCAATCCCGCACCCGTCGCTCCCTCGGTCTACCTTCCCTGCGATCCCCTGCCGCTCTCCGCGCGACCGCGTCCATGCCGCAGAAGGAAAGCCCGATCCGCACGATCACCACGAGTCCACGCCGCAGAAAAGAAAACCGCTCCTGTGATTCAACTTCGATCTCGTGATTCCTCCGCCCGCCTCCCCATCGTCGCCCACCCGTAGCTGGCAGCGCCGTCGCCGCACCCGCCCGTAGCTCGCCGCGACGCAGCCCGCACACGCCCAGAGCTGGCCGTGACGCCGGCCGCGCCCACCTGCAGGTTGCCGCGCCGACAGTGCCTGCACCCGCCTGCAGGTGCCCGCGACAGCCGCCACTCCCATCGCTCGCGTCCCTCTTCCCCTGCTCCAAGCAGCTTCGAGGAGAGGGAGATCAGCTAGTTGCCTCCACTCACTCGCTCCCCGCCGCTGGCTGAAGAGGGGTCCATCCTCGGCTGCTCCGTCGTGCCATGCGGCCGTACGAGCGAGAGGCATCCCAGGTGCCGCGAGCGAGGGCAGCCGGTAGGCCGTCAACTAGGCCGTCCTAGCATGTGGGTGCCCTTGCCGGTGGCGGTGGCATAGGTACAGCCTGTCAAAGCTCTTCCAGATCGATTTGATTCTTGATCTACGGTTCCAGCTCCATCGCGGCTCCAACCTGCTTCCAGACGTCATTGAGCTGTTTGGAGTACAGGTCGAGGGGAGCATCATCGCGGCTGACCTCCTCTTTCTCATCTTACTTAGTAGGATCAGTAGTGGGCCTGTAGCCTTCTATCTGCTCCAATGGTCTAAAGCACTTTCATGTCTGTTGTTTCTGACGTGCAGGCAATCTTCAAGCCACCAAACGCGATGCGAGGTGGCATCTAGGTGTGTTCCCCACAGGTGCTGCAGCATGATCCATTCTTGTCACGTTTGCTATTGGATCATACTTCGATGCTGTAATTTTAATTTTTTCCACGGTGTACAAATTTTATCATTGCTCCATGCTATCAATTTTTTATTGTTTGATGCTAATCAATTTTGTAACTCGTAGGTACCACTGCATCATAATAACCGTCAAGTATACACACATGTGCCGTCACTTATCGAAATGGCGGCGAGCGGCATCAGAGTTGCGCATTTTAGCTGGTCTCCATGTACAAATGAATAGAAAGAGATGTATTGTATCACTGATGTCCTCATATGTATTGACTAAATAAAGTGTCAGTTATTATATTTTTTTGCTCGTGCATGATAGGCGGAGTGACCACTACTGACGATTTCAGCGAATTGGTATTCAGTCGTATTTGTAATCAGGCGCATGATTTTCAAAGTGATGTTCTTTTGGGGTAATTCATTGATTTAATTTATTGACTACAACACTGACCCACAAGTTTTTTATTTGTTTATAGGCCTACGCAATCGTCTGCTTATTGATGAAGCCAGACGTCGCCGAGTTCAAGAATTTGCTAAGGACATCGTGTCGCGTCTCATAGATTTAGAGAACTAAATAATATTGAAATTATTTACACGCTTGTGACACACACTTTGAATAGATGATAGACATGAATTTAGTTTAATATAATAGTTATTTTGTGTATTTTCATTGGTCAAACATGTTTAAAATATGTGAATTGAGCAATGTTTGTCTGACATATTTGATTGCTTCATTTAGTTTGTAATATCGGAGACGTCTTGCCAATATAAAACATTATTTTAGCCATATCACGAAAAAGGTCTATATAGTAGAGTTTGTGAGCCTCACGGTGCCATGCTCTCTGTGACTGTTAATTTCACAAACTTTGTTTTTTTGATTAAATGTCAATTTAAGGTCTTACAGTATTGTTATCTTATCGTGCGATCCGTGTGTTTTTAGTACAAAAATTTAGTTGTCCCGTAGCAACACACGGACACGCTACTTAGTGAAGATAGAAAGCTAGAGAATCAGAGGAGCAATAGGGATTGGAGAGGAAGAAGAATAGTAAGGCAGGAGTAGTTTAGAGTTTTCCTTAGAACAGATGAGAGTTTTCTCTAGAACATAGGAAAGTTTAGGATGGGAGTCTGATTACAGTATTCTTGATTAATCTCTATCTCTCTCAGCCAAGGGTAGATATACTACTCCATACATGGGCCAAGCCCAACCAGTAAAGGCATGAAGGCCCAAGTCGTAAACCCATTAGCTATTACTATCCCATGTACCTGACATTCTCCCTGCTTAAGCAACAACTTGCCCCCAAACTGTTATAAGCACTGACTATTCTTGGTAGAGAAATCAGCAGTTAGTCTCCCTTGATCCACCCAAGCTTTCAAGGGTCCTCAACCAGCAAGTGATAGAATTGGAATTCCAGTAACCATAAACTCTATCCAGTGAGGATTAACTTGGACTCCTTGTCAGTTTCAGAGCAGCTAAAGGACAGCCATGGCAACGCCCACAGATAACCACCAGCATTAGTGAGATGCAGTAGCACAGGTGGCGGCCAAGGGTGCTTCAAAAGCAGATCAGAAGGATAATCTCACACCACCATATTGAATCAAAACAGAAACAAATGATATAGCATGCATCTATTGGACCATCAACTCCACCAACTAAGAGCTTACCATCACTGGAACTCAAAGGAACATGTTGATGGCTGATTCACCACTATCGTGCTGCTGCAAAACTGAAGGTTGTTGAGGCATCCGATGCAACAACACAACACTGATATCAATGAAGGGCTTCATTTGAACAAATCGATCTTGTGCAGGTGGCAGCCATGGTTGAGAACAAATTAAACCACCACACTTCCGATGTACTCGCTCTTGAATCAGTGTACAGCTAGCCCAACTCACTGATAGCAAGAGTTGCGAACCACCAGGAATCACAAGTGCATCATAGCTTGAAGCTTCCACACTTTCAGATGATGCTGTCAGAGTCAAATCATGGCCAGGCTTCTCACTGCAAGTCTGATCACCTTCAAGCCAATTACTCATAATAATATGTGTAACTGCTAAAAATTTTCCTTCATGCAGGAACACACTGCTAGCCATCCACCTTCGAGTGGCATCATGCGACAATGGAATAGTGATTGTAGTGTTATGTCCAGAAGCACCACATATATTGACATATGTATAAACCAACAGCAACCGCATATGTGAAGACTGGACTGTGCACCAATCCGGTTGAGCACTGAACAAACTGGTTTGCACAAATAATACCCATGCAGTGAAGTTATGCAACATTGTACCACTGCTACTGAGTTTGCTCACTGTAAGCACTGATAGCTTGGACTAATCACTCCATTCCTAAGAAGCTAATAGTGATACAAAAGCAGAGAGCATATGGAAATGAGTAGAAACATACCAAATTGTGATACGAGGAAACACCCTTCCCAGGTAAAGGAAATCCACATGATCTCATCTTTGTGCACATACGAGGACCAGATTAGCTTCCAATACTCCCTACTGACTTCACAACAGAGAAGCCACAACAGATACTTGTGCAGGAGACATGTATGGCACCTCACTATGAGACAACCAAACGACGGCCAAGGCATAGGCCTGAGTTGAACCCCATCACTTTGTATCCCGAACTGCATAGGTGGTGGCCATGGTGGCCTATGCGGCATTGCATCCCAGCTAGGTGAGAAACAGCTCTCTATGCTCTTGTCAACCAAGTATTGAGCTAAGGTTATACTAGAGCCAGCACTATGGACTGCAGCAACAAGAGCTTCTAGTTTCTCAGGCTTTTCATCATCAGATTTTCCGAAATCAACCACATCAACATAGCAAGGACTGCAAACTGTATCAACTCGAGCCATATGTTCAGACATTTGCAGATATGTCTTGGTGGCTCTAGAAATCAGAATATGACCATTTGATCTGAACGCCATGGCTGATAAGTTATACTGTGATGAACCAGAATGTGCACACTAGAAACACCTCTGTCGCTACAGCTTCCATGATGAACTAATTTAGCTTGCTAAGAATAGATGCAGTCATCACCTCAGAATCAAGCAAGCATATACCAAGTGGTATAGGAATAACAACTATTCTCTCTAGTCTCATCAAGCATTTCCAAGACTCTATAAGTGCAGCAAGCACACAACTGATTTGTTGTTGAGTTGATACATACCATGGGGGTTTTCAGAGTCAGCCAGAGAGAGACGTGACCGAGTACCTCTCAACCATGTCGAACGACGGCTCTCAACCATGTCGAACGACGGCCATGGTAGAGGACGCAGCTCAGCCTCACAGCTCACCAACCGGAGTTCTGAAGGTGGAGGCCACGGCCTATGCTGCCAGCATAACACTGCATCCTGGCTGCAACTGAATGGAAGTGAGAAACAGCGTTGTATGATGGTGAGGCAATTCATCAAACACCTGTTGGGCAAGGTGCTGGGAACTTCATCCTCCTCGGGCACCACTATCTGCAGGAGAGAGGAAGCCAGGGAGGAAACGCTGAGCTCGACACAGCACTCACGGAGCATCCGATGGACCTGCTCCTCGAAGACAGTTGCATCAGTGGAGGGAGGGCTGGGCGCGGCCTTGACGTAGTCCTCCTGGATGTGGTCGTCGTGAGCGGAGCCCGACCCGATGAAGGTGAACCAGCACAGCGCTTCCGAGACGACATCGGGGCGGACGAGGAGGAGGCAGGTGGCTGTGGAAGACGCGGGTTCGATGGTGATCGAAGCGGCGGTGGATGATGCGGTCGTGGCCGATGCGCCGGCGGAAGGCGCGGCCGCTGGCGCGACCGAGGCGGCGGCGGAAGGCGCGGGTGTGGCGATGACCGAAGCGACGGTGGGAGGTGCAGGCGCGGTCACGACCGAGGCGGTGGTGGAAGGTGCGGGCGCTACCGAGGCAGTAGCCGACGGCGCGGGCGCGACACCGGCGACGGCGGAAGGTGCGAGCGCGTTGAGCTTGGTGCATAGCAGATCCAACTGCGCGTTCTGCTCGGCGAAGAGCTGCGCATCTCGTGGAGGAAGAGCTTGGTGGAAGAATTCATGGTGATCCAGAGAGCAAAACTACCGAATTGGATCGCTCACGTGCTGGGAATTACGAAAATCGAAGATCAACGACGGTCGATTCGATTTCGACAACCTAGGGCGGATGCGAGCAATCACGATCAGTAGAGAAAGAGACGAAACGCAGAAGAGCAATCGAAAGTCTCTGATAGCAACCAGGTAGCTGTGAAGATACAAAGCTAGAGAATCAGAGGAGCAATAAGGATTGGAGACGAAGAACATTAAGGGGGAAAATTTTGAGAGTTTTATAATTAGCTCATGTTTAATCATTCTAATTAACGTCTAATATGACATAGAGTAAACTTTAGCCCCCGTCCAAACACTCCCTACAAGACTGATTTATTTGTCAACTGTGTCTTAGGTTTGGTAAAGAAAATGACTCGAACAAGGCCACGGGAATCAAGGCGAAGGAGCGCAAGATGTTCCTCGTGACGATGGAAGGATGCGATGAGGAAGCTGATCGCGAGGCCTAGGCTGCGTTCGAGGAGATGTTGTCCAAGAAGGCTGCCTCCGCTCCTGCCCACGCCTTCGCGGTGCCGATCGGCGATCGGGCTCCGCCTGCTCCGGCCGTCCTCCCCGATGCCGCTGGCGCCATCCCACCAGCCACTGACGGAGCTGCTCTCCGGGTGCCCCTCCGGCTCCGCAGGCGTGAAAGAGTTGCAGTGTCTACTTCTCAATACTACTTGGTACTTGTTGTTTCCGTACTGATGGGTCCTGTCTCGTTCATCTGCGATGAAGTTTGCTCTTGTTCATTATATGGCATTACTATGGTACTTTGTGTCACCGGCGGCAAGGTGACGACCACTACTGATGGCGAGATCTCTGAACCTGATGATGGCAAGGAAAGGGAAGCAAGCACTGAAGGGGAGTCGGTGGGAAGAAACCCTAGGAGTCAAACGTATGAAGAAGCCCAGTAGAAGAGTCTTTGGGCCGGACTGGATCATCTAAACGGACCCTGCGTGGCCCAGATGCGAGGGGCGGCCCATGGTGGCCCCTTTTGTAAGCAACAGAGGAGTTGTTAGGGAACTGAACATGAACTAGAATCTGACCATGCCCGAGGACGACGACGGCGGCGGCGGCGTTCGACGATCTCGTTGATCGGCCGACGGTGACCGAATTTACCCAAATATTCTATCATATTACAGTTGATCTATCATAGTCTGGTTACATCTGGTATCAGATTGCCTCTCGATCCTTGGTCCCTCGAATTTCCGCATTCCATCGATCGAAATCGCAAACGCTTTGGGTTCGATTGAGATCCTTGGAGGGCAGTGAGCTGCTGCCGCCAATGATTTCTCGCTAATTCCCAAGCACTATAGTTGGCCAATGGGCCGGCTTGTCATGGCCCGACACGGGCCCGTGCCAGCATGGCCCGATAGCCAACGAGCCGGCACAGCACGCCGTGCCTCCCGGGTCATGCCTCACAGGGCCACGGGCCTGGCCTTCGGCCTAGGCACGGCCCTATGAGCCGATTTCCATGCCAGGCCGACCCACGAAGCATGACCAGAATCACGGGTCGTGCCAGCCCACGGCTCGTTACCCTTTACATTCACAAACATATCACAGTTTCACATTCATAGAATTTTCAATACATTCACATTCACAGAAACATTCACAGTTTCATACATTCACAGAATCAAAGTCTAAATGTCCAATAGACCGATACATTCATAGTCCAACAGAGATATCAAACTCCAAACTCCAAAGCCGATAGATAACAAAATAACCAAAATGAGTTGTTTAGTGCAATGCTGTCTCATTAAAAACCTTTCTAGGTAAAACTCACCCTTGTGAGAAACCCTAGAAAAGAAAAAAGAGTGCAGCCAGCTCTTAATTAACCATTGTTCAAATGATAGACAAGTCTTTTACAATCACACACACTCTTTCACAGTCACAGATCACACACACACCCTCAGGAGTCAAGTCTCAACCTCAGTACCTCACTAAGTACCAGGAGCACCACCAATAGGTCCATCTTCATCAAGGTATAAGTTCTGGAATGAGTCTTCAAGCTCTTGGTTGTCAACAGCATGATGTTTCCCTTTTTCTCCTAACTCTAGTCCTTTAAGCAGGTTAGCATCTCCACAGTCTCTGGTGACAAACATCATTGTCGTTCCTCAAGTATTCTACCTATCAAACTAAAACAAGACTCCGAAGAGACAGTAGATACATGAATTGATATGATATCTCTAGCCATTATAGACAGGATTGGAAATGTTACCTTGTGGTCACGCCACCATAGAAGTAGGTCAAAATCATCCTCATAAGAAGTGACATTGTCACTGTCTAAGTAAGCTAAGAGCTCACAAACAACAGAAGTAGATGAAGATGAAGTGGTAGGGAGAGGGGAAGGACCAACAACACCTGATCCACGGCCAAAGATTCTTCCCCATGCCTGCTTTTTCTTACCTGTATGATGTGATGGTTGTGCAACCCTTTGAGACCTAGCTGCACCAAACTTGCTCTCATATTTGTTAAACAATTTATACAATTCAGTTTTGACATCAACATAGTATGAACTGTACTCAGAATCAGTGTATTCACCAAGTAATTGCAGCACATTAAAGAAACCCCTAATCTTAGCTCTAGGATCAAGAATGAATGCATATGAATATAATAGAGGTATGTCTTGCCAATATTTAAGGAACTTAAGCTTCATAGGATATACAATAGCTCTCAGATTATGATCTTCTTCACTGCATGCAAATGAGAAGCAATCTCTAGGATATGATGCAGAACAAGTGGACTTGTAGGATAATAAACACCAGACATAACAACAGAGAGTCATAGAAGAGTTCTAGGAACTCTAATAACTTCTTAGCAAAATACTAATAATTTGTAGTCAATAATTGTGAACCATAATGGAAATTAATAAACACAGAAAAGACATTCTTGTATGAAACCAAGTGTTTAAACATCAGGTAAGTAGAATTCCATCTAACATCCATATCCAAGCCAAACTTTCTAGGTCTAACACCCTTAGCATTACAGTATTCCTTAAACAATGCAATTCTTTGATTAGAGGAATTTAAGAAGTTAATTGTAGTTCTAAAATCTTCTGGTAAGGGTTACTAGTCTTCTGTGTAAGGTTACACCCTTAGCATCAAGATTTTACAATGAGATTAATGATATGACAAGCACAACGTTGATGTACAAGATTATACTTACGGTTACTAGGATCCAAAGGATCAGGTGAAGGATCAGGACCCAAGTAACAAGCAAAAAGAGATGTCAAAGTGTTCATAGCCTTAGCATTAGAAGAAGTATTGTCTAGAGTGATAGAGAAAATCTTGTCAATCAGACAATACTCCTCAACCACAATAGTTTGAACCTTTTGACCATTCACAATCTCATAGATCTCATCAAAATCAACCCAAACACCAGATTTATGTTTATCAAGGCATGAGGTCCCATCTATGCTGTTGGAGCCGATCGGTGTCCCTGTCGCCATCGCCGACGTCGGCGCTGGCTCCGCCCCTCCACCACCATCACCACCGTCCAAATTGATTGGAGCAGAGCCGCTACCGACATCGATACCCAACAACGCAGCAGCATCGTCATGGATGTCGTCGTTGTCCTCTAGGAGCAGCCCTGCCACGATCAGTTCATCGTTGTCGATGAGTGGATAGACGACATCGTTGTCATCCACCATGGCAACCTTTGACCGTGGACGGCTGATCTCCAGCACCATTCCTCAATGGTGCGCGTGGCCACCGTGCCCGGTCTATGCCACAGGAAGAGGACGATGAGGCATCAGCAATCGACCTACACGGAGGAGAAAAACAGAGTCTGAGAGATAGAGGTACAGATCTAGAGTCAATGGAAGAGACACAAGAAGTGGAGAAGACAGATCTAGGGTTAGGGTTAGGGTTAGGGTTAGTGTTAGTGGAGTACCTGCGCAACCGAACCCGATGCCGGAGATGATGAGGGCCACCCAGAGGAGAGGGACGGACGGGAACATGGTCACTAACTCACATAGTTCACTAAGAGAGAGAGAGGAGAGAGGGAGAAGGGAGGAGAGTGGAGATAGGGTCAGATAGGCGGATCGAGGTCATCGAGTCAGGGACGATGGATGAGATCAGTAGATCATGAGAGAGAGCTTAGATTCATCAGATCATGGATGCGGCCGATGCAGGTGAGAGAGAGCAGAGATTGCACCGCGGTGAGCCGACGAGCAAGTGGGGATTAGGGTTAGGGTTGGGAGTGGACTACGGAGCCGGCCGCCGGTGAGGAGACTGGGCGAGCGGGAATCAACTGCGCCACAGCGAGCGAGTGGGGAACTGGGGATTAGGGTTAGGGTTGGGAGTAGAGAGCGAAGCAGACGAGGAGGTGAGGTGACTGGACTGAGTGCGGACTACGGAGCGAGCGAGGAGGAGAAGCGAATGGGTGACTGGGCGAGCCGCTTATATATATGAGGCGGGGCAGGCAGGGGTGCAGGAGGCTAGGGCGGCGGTCAGTCGGGGCCGCTAGTGGGCTCGGGCTGTGCTCATAGCAGGAAGCCGTCTGCCGTCTTGGCCCATGTGCCTAGGGTAAGGCCCAAGCATGGCATGCTCCTCCGTGCTAGGCCAGGCCGGGCCCACTAGCCTCTGTGTCGGCACCGTGCTTGGGCCAGGCCAAAAAAACAGGCCTTGGGCCGGGCCGACGAGCTCAGGCTGCATGGCCAACTATGCCAAGCACGCAAATCGATTTGTGGGGAAATTCATGACTCTGGCATCGCATCAGTACCTCACCCGAAGACAGATGGCCTCAATCACTAAGGAAGAGCAGTTGGGGCAAATCCTAGCATTGCTGGGAGAAAACTCCAAGGGAATCAACGAGCTCAGGAGTTCGATGATGGAGATGACTGCCATGAAGATGGATTTGTTGCTGTGGAAGCCTGAAGTCGATAATAGAGTTCACGAGCTGGAGCACGCCGTGCTGAATCTAGGGGAGCGCATTGAGCAAGTTCTGGGGTCTCGGGTTTCGGTGGCCCAACCTCTAGAACCAACCCATGGGGAGCAGCTGCGGAAGTCACCATCGCGCAACCCTCGCTCACCATGTCAATTTAGGAGGACCACTTCACCTCTTCAAGCGTCAAGGTGCCGAGCTCCGCTCACCTGGAGTTTCACCCGCCAAGGGCAGCACCTGGGTCGTTAGACCACGGCAAGTGAACTTCTCACCGAGGTGCTGATTTCGGGGTAGTGTACACCATTGCCCCGGAACCGGCCCCGGTCATAGGTGTGACACCAATGCCCCCCCAATCCACCCATGTTCTACTTCATACTTATGACTCTAGGCACTGTGATCGGCTACACTACTCACACTACCCACCCCTCACACCCTTTCCTGAAGTTGAATTCCATAAGTTTGATGGCTCTAACCCATGTTTATGGATCAAACGCTGTGAAACATACTTTGATGTCTATCAAACTGATCCAAGTCTTTGGGTTCGTTTAGCTACTATGCATCTAGTGGGTTCTATAGCACTTTGGTT